CTAATTCGATGATGCCGGCTGGCACACTGATTCACTATGAATGTAGGCCGCACCCTCTAGCGGCAGAAGCTCGTACTACATCCGGTTCGCCCTCTATTGACACAGTCTTGAAACTTTTCGATCGCACCTCGTAAGTGGCTACTGCTTTTTATATTCTCACTTTAAACGTGTCACAAACTAACGAGTCCAGTGTCAATGTTTCAAATGATATCGCGTGAAATTCAGGTCATATAATAACCTGCTTAAGGTTTTGATTATTTATGTAGATTTGCAGTTCAGTGCTTATTAACTAAAGCCAGTAGTGTAGCAGGCGAGCCAAGAAACTGGACATAGAAGCGTCTGTGGTGTTTTCGCCTCTTTGGGTCCAAATTAAAGGTTTAAGAACAAAGATAAATGATTTATGTAGCTTTTGGCCAGTGACCTTGAAATTAGGCTGTATGTGATCTCCATATGCCATGTACTAAACTACGTAGTAGAATAATTCTGATCGAATTTCATATTGTGGAGGGGTTTCAGCACTAGAAGTTGTCTATAAAATTTAAATTTGATAAATGTGGGCCAAACATAAACCTACGCTTATATTAGACTCAAATAGGACTGTGTGTTGTTTCTTAATGCCAGTTAATCTTACAAAAAATTGGCGTGTGGCTTAAAATAAAACGTATAATTAGGTTTTAAACTATTTATACAATTTTTTTCGATATGGATTACATTTAAGTGTGTATAAAAAATAATTATTCACAGCAGTGTGGGCCCTGTGCTATGATTAGATTCCCAAAAATGTATTTGCGGTTACCTGGAATTTCCGAAAAAGGTAAAACGCGACAACTTTGAAGTTTGAGAGAAATTTCTCTCGATAAGCCTGTGAGATCTTATTGTATGTATCCCTAAAGCTCTGTTTCATATACTCATACGTCACTTAGTCGTGAGTTACAAGTGTGAAAAATCCGTCTTCAAATCCCAGCAGTGACATTTCAAGTTTTTCCACTTCAGATGTTTGAAGTCGATATGATCTCTCTCTCTCTCTCTCTCTCTCTCTCTCTCAACACACTTCGCGCGTCTGCTGCTCCGAACTTGATTTGTTCTGTGCCTCGTGACAAGACAAATATTTATGGAACCATGCCTGTATTTTGTGGTGCGGGGCGCTTCAAACGTTCCTTTCATCAACCGAAATTGATTATGCCTTCGTAGGAAATTCTCTGCGTGCCAACTTATTTAGCCTTGCGTCGGGTTGATCACTCGTCCAAGGAGTCCTACTAAATATCGAAAAAAAAGTTCAAGTGACCTCCGAAAAGAGGCGGCCAAGACCCACACTGGGTTGTAGAGCCAGAGATGAGAGACGAATCAATTTATTTAACGATATTTTCGTAATTAAGTAGGCTGTGTACCGCCATTAGAAAAAAGTTTCATAATTTTTTGGTGATTTAATAATATATCTAACAACTATTAACACTGAGCAGTAGTATATTACAGACCATATTCGTTTCGGCAGCAAGGGGTCATCTTCAGTGACCAATCAAAAGGTCACATTTTAAAATAATACTTTTAAAGATATATAAAAGTAAAGTTAAAATACCAATTCTAACTTGTATGCGAATAGGAGTACTGCCCGATTGTGATAAGAAAACGCGATTCTTATTGGATAAAAAAAAATATTTTTTAAAAATTAAAAAATGTCCCTGTTGTTATTCTCACCACACGTCACATTCAACTGCAGACCTTAATATATTGTCCACCCTCGTCGTGTTAATGCCAATGTTGTGGCATAAATTCCAGCTTGGTAATGTTCGCCCGGATATCTTGCGATCTTGTGGGTTCGTGTGTGCAACGAGCGATCCGTCGAGCGGGTTACGTGGACAACGTCTACAGAGGCGCTATCACTGGGTGGCGTATGATCTGAAGCTTTCACGTTGACCAAGGATAATGAATTCTTCTCTTGATACCAGCCGTGTAAGGCGGCTTAATGAATTAACAAAATTATCAGTACTATTACAAAGAAAAACCATTTGGTAACTAAGTGTACCACCTTCTTTAACAATCAGAAAACGCGTTTTGTGTTTATGTAAGATTCATCGCACTGCTGACGTCCAATCACCGCAGCACAAAATCATTTAGGCCAATGACTGAAGACCCCCCGCCTTGGAAGTAGGTTATCTGGTTTTGTTCGACGACTGGCTCTGTGATATGCTCCATATCATAAACCTTCTAGCGATGTCAGCGCTCTGGAATGCGTCCTTTGGTTATTTTCAGAACAAAACAATAGCCCGGAGATTTTTACTTTAAACGAAAAGAAATTTTCTCGGCATGAAAGAACGACCCACTCAAAGTTCGCTGTGTTCTGTGTTTCTCTCTCTGAATTTACTAATCAAGAAATAAACGATGACGTCATAAAATAGACGTTGATGATTTTGTAGCTACATATTTTTTTAAATAAAATGAAGTATTATCTTTAAATATATAGTTATTTATGACTAACTCGATGTAGTCAGACTCTTCTTGAGAAGCTGACGGTCGCTTGATTTCTTCGCCTTTAAAAGAAATTCGATCTCCTTAATCGTGGGCACAGCCCCTGTTTTGAGTCAGATGAATCCAGTCCACAGTTCCACACCCTATTTATCTATTTCGTTAACATTCACCTAAGTAACTTATTCTAGTCGGTTTTCAATGAACCATCTTCAGGTGTATAATCGATATAAATTCAAAAGTAACATTCTAAATGCAATCCTTCGTCAGATGTCCATTAAATATCAGAAAGTTATCCTCTTCTAGATCAATTGGACTTTGTTATCACATTCAATGTTGTTTCGTAAATGTATGTCGCGTATAGCGTGATCTTGCGTGGGTGAAATGTTTGTAGTGGTTTTTTATAATCGGTCTGTAAATTAAATAATAATATTATAAAGACTAAATAAATATTAGAGATAGAAAACAAAATAATATATTGAGAAATTTTAATTTAATTTATTCTAGGATGTAACGTCGTATGGACCTGTGGACTTCTAGGTCGATATACATAAGCCAACTCGATGTTACAATTCAGAAGACCAACATCGGCATTTTGACTACCGTGAGAACCTAAAATTACATTTTAATTTTTTTTCCCAGATCTATGACTACGTCTTTAGGTTTTCCTACATAAATTTTGAGAGTATTTCTACTCTGACCAACACGTGCTAAATATCCGATTTATCTTTCTTCATTTCATTATACTAAGAAAAGTAAGATGTTTATATGTATTTATGATCATAATTTGTCCAAAGTTTGGTTGTAATGGAATCTCATGTTCGTTCTAAAACCACACTTTGTTATCTCAGCCCGTCCTACAGTCAAGAAACTTCTTAATTACCCGAAGTAAGTGAGGTGGAACACACTTTTTGCTGATACTTACGTATAAAACGAATTTTTTGGTCCTGAATATGAAATTCGCTCTTTTTGTTTAATACAAATTTCTTACGAAGAGATTTATGTAGCACTTAACAACGATCTGCCAAATTGTCGTGCGATCTTGATCTCCATAATTTCGTGTTGGAGAAAAATTGTGTACAATTTTTTTTAGCGTATTTACAGTCTGCCATGTTCTGTTGCCCCTCTAATACAAAACAACTGTCTCGAATAAAGTTTACATATTAAAGGTATTTATTGTTTAAATCTTGTCCGTCTAATCACAATAAATTCTTATTAAATATTAAAATATTACAATAATTAACATTTAAAATATTTAAAATATTAAATGATGTTCTTTATCGAAATATTCGATTTACATTAGACCATCATTTTTCACGACATGTTTCAGTTCCTAAAAGAACTATCTTCAAAAAAAAAAACTAAAGGACGATGACATTTCGAGAATGGTTGCTATTATTCAGTTCAGAATATTTAATTTTATAGTCTTTTACGTAGGGATCTAAAGATTAAAATATTTAAGACTACATTTGGACCTGGTGTTCTGAAACTTGTACTGAGCGGAAAATATATTTTGATGGTGTTCGAGAACTGGACGGGAAAAAACAATTAACTGAAGTAACAGGAGACAGGAAAATGTTCTTTCCATGCCGACATACTTCTTATCGTTTAATGACGCACAATTGAAGTTTTATGACCTTGGAATATGAGAAAGTATTCTTAAGCAATAAAAGGACGAGAGCTCGTGACCGGAGGCAAACTTCCGTTTATTCTGACGATTGAAGAAATTGCTGTAAGTTAATTTGCTGTTATTGGCTCTCGAGTGTTGTTGGTCTCCGTGTCTGCAACTCGGCAGCAAGAGGACGCTTCAATTCTGGTTCCTGGCTTCTTATTTGATTTTTCTGCCGATACAGGGCTGTCGTTGCAGATGTAAAGCAAATATTGCCGCTGTGATTCGGACACGTAAGGGGACCCCGTGTTATCGACAACACGTTTCTCCACTGGCAGGGGTTTGACGATCTGAAGCACACATCACATACTCCGACATTCAGTAAATGTGATTTATGCCCAGAAAATGTATTCGTGTGATTCTCGAAACAAACAGATTTTATTTTCCTAAACACTTTTAACCAATTCGTCCTTGTAGTAGACATAAGCTTATTAAGACATCTCTTATTCTTGTGGATAAATCACCATTAAATTTATGAACCCAATTTTTATCTGAATACAAATAATTAAAATTTCTTTTCATTCTCTCTTTTCGTATTTTTTAGTGCTCTGAACATATCTGTCATTAAAATCCTTATCAAGGATATCTGTAGATTTAAGCGGTTTGACAATAATTTTCCCACTTATAATCTTCTTCTTAGTTGGTATTAAATTTATAAAACGTATATTATTATTATATGATAATAATGAGTTGAATTATTTGTACATTTATATAATTCGTTTATTTGTTTGTTTTTTGTATTTTGATGTTTCACTTTTAGGCATATTATTTAGCTCATTTACTGTTAATTTTTGTTAATAAATTAATGAATTGATATATTATCATTAGGATTAGGATGGAAGGATCCTGTTCATATGGACCTGTCGTCAGACAGAACACTAAATAAATAAATGAAATACATTTATATATTTAGTTCATTGTTTGTTTGTTTTTATATTGTTATATATATTGTTATTGGCCTCCTTTGGCTGTTGCCAAGCACTCTAATAAATGAGTTGAATATTATTATTATTATTATTGTTGTTGTTGTTGTTCAATCTATTCACCACTTTATTGGGTATTTACTTCTATGCACCCGAGACAAACCTTGCCTCTGAGGTACATAATGCAGCAACTATTTCCGAAATACATTTTGTTTTTTAATACGTGTTACATGCATTAAACATATTTCGCGTTAGGCGGGTTCTGTAGCAAGGACAGCGAGGTTAAGAAGTGTTTGCAAATATTAGTCGGGATTCCTGACGGTAGGAGACCACCTGGTAGACGTAATCGTAGATGGGAGGATTCTATTGACCCAGGCCAAGATGATTAAGGATCTGTATCAGAAAAATGCGGACCAAAGACAATTTAATTATATACTTAGCTTTAACCTACCAATATAAAATTTAATAGAAATTATTTGAAGAGTTTTTGAGATGGATAATTTGGACGGAAAACAAAGATTGACGTACGTATATGATGATTATGTGTTGATTTCATACAGCACACAGACGTAACCTCATAAAAAAGCAGTATTTGTTTCGTAAAAGTAAAGAAGTTTGTAAGAATCAGTTTGTTTGTAAGTCGACCTCGGTTACAGAAATGAACAAAAACTGCTTCCTGTATGAAACAGATGAGCGTGTTCCAAGAACTAGGGACTCCTGTTGTCCGTCAAGTCCTGATAATGAGAAAAGCCGCAAGACTTCAGACGTATAGTCTATCTGTCAGGCTGACCTGATTAAAGCAAACGGTGTCTTGTTTGCTTGTTCTGTTGTTTACAGCGACTCCAGACCTCTCCACCCCAACACTTTCCACCTCTTGACCAGGCAAAAACAATGTTGATAATCGGAACATGTCCATCGACCATCGACCATCGACTCCTGAGCCGAACTGGTATTCGTGATTACATTTTCTTTCAAGTCGCGTGATCGTGTAACATTTCCTGAAGCAAGATTCAAGATCTGATACAGAAAAGGCTAGTTTTAGTTAACTGTATACATTCAGAGGAATACATGCATGATCACCGAGAAATTGAGGGCGGGGTCATATAAATGAATGCGGAAAAATACATTTCGGAGATAAATGGAAACGCCAACCCCTGGATGAGTGTTGATGGATCAGGATTTTCATGAGCGTAAAATTCAGCTAGTCAAAGAAGAATAAAATACGTAAGACGTTTCTGGTTGCCATTAAGTAATTGCTTGGAGTATAGTCCTTGAGAACAGCAAATATATTACAGACAATTGCCTCAAATATTCAGTTGTACAATTATTGTACGATAACTGTATTTAATAACAAATTAAACCTATGTGTAACTTCGGTTTTCGGGTGTCAGTCGTATCGAATGCTTAGCATTAAAGAAAGCGTTTCGACAGACTTTACAGTTGCCATCTTCAGGTGAATTATGAACGCCTAAGAGGGGACATTCTGTGAGTAGCTAATCCACTCCACCAATCAGACCCGTTACATTTTTAACCTGAAGATGACATCTGCAGAGCGTGGCGGAACGTTTTTTAATGCTGAACATTATACCAGAAAGGTAAAGTCGTATATTGTTCTCTAGACAGAAATCCAAGGGACAAGAAATTAAGATTGGTCAGGTAAGAAATCAGACTTCGCTAAGGCGTTGTGTTTGTATGCGTTCTTTGCACGAAGTACGTAACAAAAATACGTTGTGGGCTGGGCGTATTTGTCCGTCTGTCCATCTGTCCAGTTAATTCAACGCGAGAACCACTGGACGGATTTTGACGAAATTTGGTGTGAACGCTGTGCCATTATGCAGGACCTCAGAATAGTACTTCTGAATATCCTATGAGCGTTTACAACAAAATGGCGGATGGGAAAAGTCGTGAGGTGATCACTGAGGTGCTGCAGTCTGGTGGCCAAAATAAAAAATGTCGATCAAAATTCACGCTGCAAAGAAGACTTGAGGATATTTTTTAAACCTCAAGCGTCTAGCTTAAGTAGCTTAAGTATTTGCTTTAATAAATTAAGATGCTGATCTCAGAGTTGGTTTCATGGATGCGCCTATGATATATCTTCATTTGGATCTAATTGGCCCCCACCGAAATAGATTTTTCTGGCCGCTGATTCCAATCGGATTTTGAGGTCTTGCGAGGAAAAATGGCATGGATCCAGACACAGAGCACCCAGTTCTTCCAAGATGGCGCAAGAATCCCGTGTACCACTGGGATAATAAGTGTCTCAATATGCAAGGAGATCACATGGAACAGTGACTTTGATGTGAAACAGAATTCTGAACGTGTAATTTGCTAGTCTGATGTCACAGCTGTGTGAAATAATGTCGTCGAAGTAACTTCTCGGTCCACCGTCGTAAAACAATCACTGCTTTTCCTGCCTCAACGCGAGTGTTGTTGGTTGACGGGGAAAACGCTCTAACCTAAATCTGACTGTTTGAGAATACAATATATTGGAAAAGTAATCATAGCGAATGCAAGGCTCCTTTGCATACATTTAGGAGAGTGGCGTGAAGAATGCCTTTGCAACTTTCGTGTACTCCGAAGAGTACACTCTTTTTCTTGTTTACTTGTGATTTTGGTCGTAAATGCTTTTAGTGTGTTCAGTGTATCAGTGAGTACCATATTAAATTAAACTGTCATAAACAGCCAGACATTTTTTCTGCCCACGATATTATGTTACTCCAGCCTTCAACATTCTGTTCGCGCTAACATTTTCATTTTCCCCTTGAGTAATGCATAACCGAGTGAACGTTTGGACTATTATATTTTTAATGCTCCAGATATTTTTAGCCGTAAAATTTTATATATGTGTCATGAGCAAGGAGCCATTTATAGACCGGAATCCGTTTTTCCTGTCAGTATTTTAATATTTCTTTTCAGATTCATGATTAATTAATATGGTCATAAAGAACGCAGTTACGTACGTACAAAACGTTTTGTGACTTTATTCCCGTAGCACAAAATCTTGAAGTGATTACGTTTCGGCCCTTGGAAACACAGATAATTACATTACGACAGGCTGGATAACATTAAACACAAATGTTCGAGTTATTAATGTTTTCTCAGCGCCGTTTAAAAAATCGATTTTTATTTTCGTGTCATTAACTGATACGTTTTTAAGATACTTTGGGAAAGCAGCGCCATATGTTAACACACAATTGGCTTCTGTGTCATTTATCGACACTTATTCAGCTTTATAAGTTACGTATCGTCGAATTTTATGGTCACTGAAAGATGAATTGAGAACGCTGTGGTGGTTAGTGGCGAAAACCTTTAATGAGCTTAGTAAGATTCATCGCCTTGATGATGGAGGCAACAAAGACCTCTGAAACGTTGGTAAACTTCTACCAGACTGTACGGAGTTACAACCCAAAAGACAGTCATCTTTCTAACGAGCTTTGTATTTTAATATATTATATCGGTAATGAATTTAAGCAGAAAGTTTACTCGAGAAGTGTAATCGTGTGTCAGGAGCAATGTATAAAGAAAAGAGACATATTTAATGAGCAGAAAGACACGAGGTACTTGTTTAATAATTCTTCTGAGCTCTATAAAATTCGGCTTAGACTTTGTATGTTGTCGGACGTACTGAACCAACAGGTTGGCATAGTCACAGGTGTTGTTTGACTGCACCTGATAGGTTGAATTTGTTTAATGACACCATTTCAACAGCACTGATTTCATCAGGATGTCTGTGACCGAGAGAAATTGCGAAAATTCTTGTTAAATCTTGTGAATATCATCACACCTTTATCCAAGATCCACTTTAATATTACCCTCCTGTTTACGCTTTAGACCTCAAGTATCAATTTACATTTACGTTTTCCGAATGAAACTTCTCTGTGTTTTTCGCCCCCTACATAAATGCAATATCCCTGCTAATCTCATCCTTCTTCATTCACGTAATAATATTAAAACAGTTATGAAGTTTCACAGCATGCGATTTTGCCTAGTCAGGTGCTGCTAGGATGTCGTCAAACACCCGTTATCCACGTTCTCGCTCAATGTGAGGCATCGTACGCTGTTATCTGACAAGTGAGCCGTGCTGTTTAATAGGAGACTATTTTGCGCGTCATATGTCAGTGGTAACTGCTGAACTTCCTGGACAGAACTAAAGATTAAAAGTAGCCCAGAACTGACCTCAATACGTTTATAACTCAGTGTTATTCCTAATCCATGTGTTGTTCGGTTTCTCTTTGAGTCTTCTGAACTCAGAAGACACAACTGTACTTCAGGAATCAGACATAAGCAGGTCCATAACGTTGGTATTACTAGTTTTATAAAATTAAGAGTTACGATTGTGGAAAAGACTCCAATGACATTATGTCCGTACCAAATTTCATGAGAATCCGTTTTTCATTCCCCAGTAATTATTTAGCGGAAACTGTAGTTCGTAAAAGCCGTGATAGATAACAGCACGACCTCTTCAGATGAAATACATGACAGGCAGACAGACATAAACAGGCCCATAATGCAGTGTTTCGCTCACGCTAAAGTGAAAATAAAGAACGCCTAAAACAGGATCGATATCAGCTTTGAGCTGCCTTATCCACTTGAATTTTGACGTGGTCGGAATCTGTGGTAGAAATTACGCTCGGAAAAGTATCACTTGATTTTAATTGTTAATTTATATTTCATGTTGTCCTCACCGTATGAATTGAAGCGTTTGATGTTAAGGAATTGTTGCAAAGTTTTTATCTCGGTCTGATTTCATTTGTGTATTGTGTGCATTCAATTGGGCCCACATTAAACGCTGTTAACTCATTCCATCTAGAAACAACTTTAAGATACAATGTATTATTCAAATTAATGTTTGGAATCTGTTCTGCTGATGGAAGGGATTTTACGGGCAATCAGACACATTCCACCTAAAATTAATAGCTCCTCCCTCACTGATGGAGCAGTTGGTGGAACAAACAATAATCCAAACTAATTTAATTATTACTCGCTTGGTGGCTCTGATATCACAGGTCTGCTTAGTTGGGATTCTGAACCTTTAAATGTTCTGACGTAAGCAACAGAGAAATATTAATTCACGCAGTCCAGTTAAGGAATCGAGATGCAAAAGTGTAACTTTGCAGGAGCTAATCTCACCGAGTGGTGCACGGCGCTGTGTGCAGATCAGCAGAAGATACTCGTTAGTTTTGACATCAAAGCAGTCGATACAGTGGCCACGAAACGTTTTGGCCTTTGGAGAAGCTGGCGGACGGACCTACCCCGCTCGAGTGACGTCGCAAGGGCACGCTCTTTGCCCTGTTTCGTCCGTCAATCCTCTCTGCCTCCTAACCTTTAATTTGGGCACTGTCAGTGAAGTGTTTAATGTCGAGTCATTTATCCCACCGAGACATTCGGTAAAGGAACAAGTTCCCGAACATTAGCGTATAGAAAACCCGTTTTATGTGCAGAAGAATTTGAAAGTGGACACCTAATTTTCCGAAAGGCAATCCGAAGAATTTTAAGAGAGCAGAAAGAAATCCTTTAGCCCAAGAAATTAGATTCATTTCGGTCTGATAGACTTACGAAATACCGAAATGTCTGACAGACGTAGAGGTTTTTCGATAAGTTTGTAATTCGACACACAATTCGTGAATTTTTTTGTGCGAGAATAAAAGGTAAGCAACTATTTCTGAACTACTTCCGAAATTGGGCGACGGGATTATTTCAAATTCGGTAGAATTCGATCAAGAAACATTGCGAAGAAGGTTGGTCTTCTATGGAATTAAACGAGAAACAGCACGACGTAAGATGACTGAAAATCATCGTTCTCAATTCGGGGAAGCCGCCGCCCAACTCACTGGTCATCTTAAATTATTATTGTGATCAAACACTGATGTTTCTAATTGCCTGTAAAGATTATCACCACCTACTACTGAAGCATACATCAGGTCTGCTTTCCTTTGCATGGGCT